GGAACCCGACCACAAGCACCCAGCCTGGGAGACAAATGAAAAGAACTGGGAGACAAATGAAAAGAAGTGGGAGACAAATGAAAGGAAGTGGGAGACAAGCCAACCGGGAACCCGACCACAAGCACCCAGCTTGGGAAGACAAGCCAGCCGGGAACCCGACCACAAGCACCCAGCTTGGGAGACAAATGAAAAGAACTGGGAGACAAATGAAAGGAAGTGGAAGACAAGGCCGGTTGGGAACCCGACCAGACCATCCAGCACCAAGGCGACCATTCTTTAAAGCATTGAGAACCCCTAACAGTAAACTGTTTGGGGAAAAATGGATCTCATGGATCACTTCGATTCGCCCGGCCTCCGTCGTTTGCAGGCTGGTACCACTGCGACCAGAACACGCGCTTGGGCGCTGCGAGTCGTGGTCGCTGCTGCGTGCAGGGCTTGGTGACCTTGTCAGAGGCCTCCAGGAACAGCGGCGGATTGGTGGTGGTGCCCCAGAGTCACCGAGATCATGCAGAGGTCTGTGAGAGGAGCAGCTTAGCGGAAAGCTGTGGTGAGAGCTTGAGTGGTGGGAGTGTTGGGGTGAGGTTGGGATGATTTTTGGGGATTTGGTGTCGATTACACAGGGGGAGCACTAGATTTATCAACCGCCATGTTGAAGGGATTTGTGGGTCGAAATAGCAGCCTGTCATAGGATTTGACCCAGACCTGCGCAATGTCGACCAAACAATGGTTTCTGCGGTATACTGAACGGACATACTATGGCCGGTTGCTGATTTTTTGAAACCTTGTCCGTGGGGCATCATTGAGAACAATGGATCACAGCCACAGTCATTTCATGTGTCACAACATCCCAGGTTCGGGTCAATGCCGACAGCTCAGACACGCTGTCCCAGATACTAGAAGTCAATAGAAGTCACATAGACTCCCGGAAACCATTTTTCCTGTGTTTTCCCAGGGTTCATTTTCAGCTGAGTTTTTCGTGAAATGATCAAAAGGGCTTCCTTCGAGTCGAAGGGATGGAAGATTGGTGGTCTCCAAGTGAACAGCGCAGGGGGTACGGTCTGGTACAGTCGTGGAGTATATTTTTTGGAGCTCTTTGTTTTCTCCAACAACCGCCCAACTCCATGGAACCCGCAAGGATCCACATCTCAAACAAACTGACTTGGTGGGTTTGACCATGTCAATGGATCATGGGTGCGGCACAGCAGTATCTACCTATAAAAGGTTAAAACAATGTGGTGATATGTTCTCTCTTCCATCACTCTTTGGTGGGAATGATTGGGTCGTGCCAATGGATTTTTATTGGTCATGGTGTTCGAGCCACGCCTCCACAGACAAGCGAGATGAACAAAGCAAGTTGAGTAGTTCCTTGTCTCCCATTGGCTCATGTTTTGGACAAGGACTTTTGAACCAGAGATTCTGAACGTGGTCAGGAAACAGAAAGGAAACTCTTGATGTTGCCTCCAACCTAAGAGCGATGCCCTTGTTACTAGTAGCTTCTAGCTACGAGTAGTAGTGCCCTTGTTACTAGCAGCGATGCCCTTGTTAACTACTAGCGACTCAGGTGCCCTTGCTAGAGGTGGTGATTTTGTACCCATCTCTGTGAATGATCCAATCTTGGAGAAGGCCTTTTCCGTGTTGTGAAGATGGTTCCACGTTTCTATGTGTTTCTTCTGAATAAGCGCTGCAATATTCAATATTTAACCTTCCTGTGCGAAGTGGGCGAACTGGATGAAATTTACACCGTGCTTCTCATTTGCACACACACACACATGTGTTGTGATTCAGTATCCAGGTCAGAAAACTTAGGTTGTTTGATACTCAGCTCAAGTCTGCACTTCTGTTAGTCTGTTACTGCGCCTATCCACCCAGCCTATCCGCCCCCGATCGCATCACCCGCGCAGGGTCCTGTCCTGGTAGCGGCCAAAGCAGGTGACTTGATACTTTGGGATTCCCGCACTGCCTCTCGGCAGAGAAAAAGCTGCCTCCATTGATGTGGTCACTCCCAAGCTCCCCATTTTGGGAGCACTTTGGACGAGGATCATCCCTGCTTTTGGGACACCTTTGTGACACTTTTGTGTGACACACTTCCTGCGTTTTTCACACACATCTGCTCGCCAGGGATGGTCCCCCACTGGGGGGCGGGTCCAATCACGGGGGTCGCCCGGTCCATCAGGTCCACTGCAATACTCCTGGTTGGGCACCCGAGGCCGCGGCGGCCGCGCGGCGTGTTCCACTCGAGAGCGGGCGCGGGGTGGCTTGGCCCGGATGGGCCAATCGCAACATGCGAACGGGCGAGAAACTTCCACCTCAGGGGACAGACATGTCCAGTGTCCACCTGCCAATTCCCGACAAGAGTCAGCTCCTAGCAAGCCAAAATTCCTCCTTGCTGGGTTATCCACAGCAGGATCTTGAGGGAGATTCCCAGTTCGCTTCTGGAACTGTTGGTGGAATGCCTGCTCTCCAAAAGCACAGCGGGGAGATAGTGCTTTGGTTGGTTGTTGCACAACCAGTGCGGATTACACTTGAAATTTTCCCACGAACCATGTCCCTTCGTTTGTTGACCGTGTATAATGAGATTGTGAACCATGGAGTGGGAGCTGAATACATCGTTCTGTTGTGCCAGGCTGAAGGCATGCCGTTCACGCAGTGTGCCCAAATGGAGGAGTGGCAGTTGCTCCGTGAAGTTGGATATGCAGCTTGGTGGCCGAGCTAAAAGTGGCCTACCACTTTTTCCATATGGGCATGTACATATTGTACATATCCGGGTTTGGAAGGGGATGCTGTAAATGTATGCATTCTGGATTCTGTACACTTCATGCTGTATACAAAAATATGAACTTGCAGAGCGTGACTCTGGAGGCATGTTTCCCCCCCCAAGTGCCCTCCATACGCATCACCAGGAGAACCTCTCCTGGGACCGGGTGGACCGGGCCTTGGACCTGCTCCGACGGAAAAACACCACTCACCACGACTTCACCAGCTGCAGTTCCACCTGCAGCTGCTCGGACGCTCCGACTTCGCTGCTCCGAGGTGTGCATGACTCCTGCGGCGTGGGCATCGGACGAAACGCTGGAGCAGCTGAGGAAAGCCTTCGAAGAGGGGATTAGCACCAGTCATTGGCCTCACAAGTGACTCGGTGGAGGTGCCACCCTGAACCAGGTGGCGGATAGAAGAGATAGGATTTACATGGATATAAGCAAATCCACATTTCAGATTCGTTCATTTATGTTGGGACTTTCGGATGGGCAAAACACAGGGAAAAGAGAGCCAACCATTTTTGTCGGGTTTTTAGTTTTTACGATGTTTTTCTATTTCTATTTTTTCCCAGGTTCATACGTCGCTTGGTGAGGTTTCCGAAGTGCCTGTCCATGTAGAAAGGACAATATTGGCTTGACGTATCCTCGACTCCTCGACCACGTGAGGATGTGTGTCCTGCTTTGTGTTGCTTTTTGCTACACCAAAAAGCTCGGTGATAAGGGATTTTTCTCTTTTGACTGGTTACGGAAAAAGGGAATGCAATCATTGCTTGTTCACTATTTTTGCCCAAAGCATGTGAGCGACATGAGCGATGTTTGTATGTTGGAGGATATTTGCAACATAATGGTGGGTGGGAATTTCCGCAGGTGTTGAACCATCTTCTGGTACAGTGACATTGGCATTGTCATTATGACTTGGCCGTGGAAGGTCATGGAGATCCTCTTGCCTTCAGGTCAATTGGACACTGATGGCGCTTCAGGTCAATCGGCAGGAAGCAGGTTCTGATTGGCAGGATGCTTCGAAACATCAGAATGGCATTTGAACCTTACAAGACGGGACAACCCTTTTCAAATCTAATGGCTTTCCCAACTCCTTCATGCCAATTCTGGCCATGTCGTGGTCTCATGACCTACCTGAGGTTTGCCATCGCAGGCTACCCTTTGCCAGGGATGCCCCCGAACGATCCTCAGAGCATTTCGCAGGCGATGGGGCGAAAGCGACGGTCTGTCGGTGCGAGTTTGGGAGGTCTTTGGTATTTGTAACATAGATGTGGTTAATTTCGTGGACCCATGGGTTCCTCGGAACTTAAGGGTTTTTAGAACGTTAAGCAGTGGACCACATTTGCGTGACGGAAATAATGCTTTTGGGGAGCTGGACATCAATTTCCGTTTGGGAATGCTTGAAACTTTACAATTTACGGGTATCCTACAGGAAAGGATCCATCCAGGTGAGTCAAACGTGGTCTGCCACTAATTGTTCTGGATTGAGTGAGTAGTAAAAGCCAGATCCTTCGAGGCCATATGTTTGCTCTGGACGGAGGGACTCACTACAATACTCTCAAGACAGAATTTCAATTTGTAAAGGTCTTCCAAGACTTCCATGCAAACTTCCCTGGATTACCACCAAGCAAACATATTTAAATCAGGGGAGTCTGAGTCCTATCTAAGTCGGGCTTAAAGTGGAGTTCCGACGAACTCCGACGAACTTGGCCTTAAAACTCTTAAATTTCTTGTGTTTTTCAAGTTTTTGCTCGTGATAATTGGCTGTTGGTGTAGCCAACCACCTGAAAATAGCTCCGAACAAGCAAGTTTGGTGTATTGTCTAATGAAAATTGCACTTGCGCCTCTGAATTTTCACGTAAAGAAATTGGCTGAAAACAGCCCAAAGCTGCCCTCCGATGAACTCCGACGAATTAAGCTGGAATCAAAATATTTAAGCTGAAGTCAAAATGTTTAGGCCCTGGAGGCTACAAATAGCAGTGTGCTTGCTGTTCTGAAATCATTCTAGGTGTTTGCGCTCTCCAATTGGCCAATTCAATAGCCATCAAATCTTTACTGCCAGGTACAATGAGAATTTCACTTGGGAAGTGGGAATATTCCCAAATACAGTGGAGGCCTATCCACAGCACTAAATGCGGCCGATGGGGAGGGGTAGACAGAGGAACGGATATATTTTCACATGTTAAGATATTTTAAATATTTAATGATTTGAAACCATTTGAAGCTGATCAGTTGTTGGAACACCTTAATTGATGCTATGAAAACTGGGTTGGACCTTAACTTCTTGAAAAAGCTTAACTCCCGACCAACCCGTAATCCACGAAATAAACCACATAGATGTTATCGTTTTTTGTTTTATTTTATCTAAACGGATTCAACGTGATGTTCAACATAGAATCATGATAAAAAGACAACTTCACCAAGAGTCAACATGACGCGTGCCAGTCAGAGTTCTGACCTACCATTCGGAGAACCAGAGACATATGTTTGGCGGCTTGGAGGGCGAGCCTCTTTTATCCTGGATGTCAGTCTGAGGATCTGTTGGTGGTCTCTAATGTTGGAAGAAAGACACTGACACCACCAACGATGGCGAAGACTACACTATTTACAGTGTTTTGGTGGTTTCCAGCTGGTGCTTCTCTGTTCGCTTCGGACGATCTCCACCTTCGCTCGACGACGTGCCGCTGTTGTGCCGCCCTTCAGGAACAACGAAGGCTGATCGGCTACGACCGCCCCAGGACTTGGCCCTGTCGTGTACAGTAGTCCTCGAGGACAGGACTTCGTCGTTGACGAGTCCGGTGGGTTCCGGACGGGGAAACCAGCTCAGGCGCCTGAGGGCTCGAACTCCTGGCTCAGACAGGAAAATACAAACGGCTGGGGAACTACAATGGTTTTAGAGTATGGCACAGACTTTTGCAGTTGAGATGGTGTGTGCATGTCTTGGCATATGGATTCCCATCTATTGGGGTTTGTGCTATTTGTATACTCAAGTCAACCTGAACCTCAGAATGGAGTGGTTCGGGCAAAACTGTGTTTAGAGACCGAAGGCCTAAGCTTCTATGGGTGCATTCACTTGTTTCTACACCCTGACCCTCCCCAGAATCTGACAGACCTGGTACATCAAATGCACAGGTCCAGCCGGTCCAGGCTGCTGCCCCTCATTCTCCAAGCTGTTACTGTGAAACGCTCTCACTTGAAACTCTCAGGACTATTTGCTGTCGTGAGCAGGGGACCCTGCTGTACAGTCCCTGCGCGTTTCGCAAAAGGGGTTCCTGGGACGATGGAGCACATGGACTGTGTCGGTGACACAGGCGGTCGGAAGTCCGAGAAAAACTGCACAACACAGTCGTGTGAGCAACCGACAAAACTATTGCAAGACTATGCAAGAAGACTGCATATATGGGGCCCTAGTACCAATACCATTTTTTTGGATGAAAACATGAATCAGACAAACATCCAACACATTGAAGGGCGATGGGGACCAACAGGATTTGAAAGTAGGTCAAACAAATTGTGTGCCACTCGTGTGTTTCTCTTCCTGTGGGGATGGCCATGGAAGGTACGGTTGGTGGAACATCCATACCGCACCATGGTTTTCTATAGAGGTGTCCAAAAATTCAGTGGAACCACGACCGAAAAGCATGCCAGGTGTCGTGCCGGAGACCCTGTCCATCTTTCGAAATGGGCCGCAGCCGTGTGGCTCACAGATTTGAAGTGAAAGTTTGCAGGACCACCGACTTGATCAGCATGTTTTGGTTATTTTCGAGCAAAGTTGGGTGTGCAGCAAAAAATGTGAGATGAGCTGAAGCAACATGTCTCCCACACAGCTGCATCTCTGCGGACCACCTCAAAGAGGTCTACCAGTCTACCATCACCACAGTGGCACCGAGCTTCTGCACCTTCCGCACCAGCCGCGTGACCATCTTTTGCACCCAAAAGGAGAACCAAGAAAAAGGGCAGAAGGATTCGTTGGTGAACCTGCCACCCTGACACTGCGAGTCACCCTGCCCTACCACCCTGATCAGTGAGGGGTTCCGTGAACCTGCCACCCTGACCTGCCCTTGGTTTTTGCGGTGCACTGCGAGTCCCGAGAGCCGCCTGCCCGCCATGGCGGGGCCCAAAGGGGCGCTCTTTGGGCCTGAGGATCGGGGGTGAGCCGACGGAATTCCGTGGGGTGTGGGTGTAGAAGGGATTAAGGCCATTGAGGATGGAAGGAGGGATTATATAGATTGATTGATTGATTGATTGATTGATTGACTGATTTGGATGGAGTTGATGTTTCTGAAGGTTCAGGTTCCCTTCCAATTTCAAAGGTGGGCCTTTTTTCCTGTTGGGCTAGTGACTAGTGTCCTGCTCCAGCTTCAGGAATTTGAATGGACTATATGCTTGGCCACATCTTCTTTCTCGCCTTGTGTTCGCTGGTTGTTGCATGGTGACTTTGAGGGGGCTTCAGCGACATGATGGCTGTTCCACTTGGTACTGTAGCTGTTTCGCAACCACGTTGTTGACTGTGACAATCATTTCGAGACCATCCGACAGCTTGCGAAGGGCATTAAGGGGTACGTGACACATTTTGGTATGGACTCAACTGTAGTATGATCATGATACCAGCATCGTATATACAAATTTAGCCGAGCCTGCCCTGCTTTCTCTGTACGTAGCGCCATGTTTGACATTGTCTTGCATTTTGGCACAGACATATATGGATCATTTGGTGGCCCCAAAATAAATGTGCAAAAACGCTATTCCAAGAGATCTTCTACTGTGATCGCCGTTCCTCTTCCGCAAATGAGCAGATATCGTCGATCTTGGGATGATCGTCGATCTCTTGCCCCGCTGCTGCGCTGCATCCGCCCAAGCACCGCTCCGTGGCGGATGCAGCGCAGCTCCAAGCACCGCTGCGCCGGTGAGGACTTTGGAACCCTCCTGGTGCACGCTGGGGGACGCTGGAAGCTCTGGCGGGAACGTGCCTTGGACTGGAGACATGTATTTCTTTTTTGCGCGGGCGGACACATGCCTCACGAAGTGAGGAAGTATGAAGAAGTGGATTGAATAACCTCTTTTGGCTACTTTTGGCTGAAGTGTGTCTCAAAAAGGAACTGTACTCAAGAATGGAAACTGTAAAGAATTTAAATTACCTGCTAGGTTGATCCAGAGGGGTCGTATATTCAACCGGGGGTCCAGCGATCCCTTTGTCTTCACGTGTACAAGACTCACCAAGAGCAGGAGTGTATGATTCTGGAACGCCCAGGGACACAAGTGATACTATAATCTAGACATGCATGATTGCAGATGTCAGTACACAAGGCGAAGGGTCGGTGGATTTGCACCACAACGACGACCACGAGATCTACTCAGTCGCCTGCTGGGTGAAAGAAAAATCGCAGGCGCCCGGCTATTCTCGGAGGTGACACGAGTGCGAGAAGCCTGTCAGGAAGCTTTCAGCCGCTGAAGCCCCCCCTGGCCTCCAGAAGTTGGCTTCGAGTCCACCAACACTTGGCAATTAGAGAGTGGTGTTGCAGTGATTTTCATCCTGGTCCTTGAAGTATCGACTCGTCGCCGAAGAGAACTTTGTGATCCAAATCACGTCCCCACATGGCCCCAGAGGTGGTCTACAGAGTTTTGACTAGGAACGAATCCGGGAGTGAAGGCCTGGTCACTGAACCCTGACTGTGCCTGTGGTCTGGAATAGATGTTGACGGATGCAGACTTGGTGATTTCGTCATGTCAACGATATTTATTCACTTGTTGTATCATCTATGTATGTTCTTTGTTGATTCATCCCTTGTATGCAGAAAAAGGTAGAGGTCGTAGAGGTCTCTAAATATGTAACCAAATTTTTGCGGGTCACATCTTCACAGATGGTTCCCCCTTTCCCGAGTGGCTTTTCACTCCTCTTGGGTGTGGGTCAGGTTCCCAGGACATGTCTTCGTTCTTGACCCTGATGGTTCCCCAGTGAAAAACATGGCCACGAACTCTGCGACAGCAGGGCCACTGCCTGGTGCTGGGATGCAACAGTGGCCGCGTGCAGATTTGGAACGCCGCCTCTGCCGAGCTCGTCGCGCGCGGCGAGGCCGGCGGATCGGCATGTGCCGATCCCGGGCCGTCTGTGAAGGAAGAGGATTTCAGGTGTCCAAAGCTGAAGATCAGGAACTCCCAAGTTCTTTTCGATGAAAGCAATATGAGTCATATGATTTGAAGGGCTGTGATAGATGGGGTTTGCTTCCTTCTCGAAGGAGTTATAATGGAGGTTTAGTTTGGTCACGGAGTTTGATGTAGCAGTACTCCTGGACTGAGGAAATATCATGGGAGCATTGCCTTGCAAAGTGGCAGCTTAACACAGTTAGAATCATTTTCCATGTAATTGTATGCCACAGGCTCAACTCATCAGTTCAAGCGAATGGGTCAACGTTACTGTTGCATTTCTTTTCAGTGTGTCAAGTAGCTCCGCCAACTCGTAAACTGGTCTCTGCCAACTCGTAAAGCAACCTCTCTCCTAGGCCTTCCGCAAGTTTGCCCACGGCCAGTCTGCCGGGGTCGCTGCCTTGGCCGCTGCGCCCGAGCGGCGGGGGACCTTCTTCGCGGCCTCGAGGGGGACGGTGGAGATCATGGAAGTGGGGATCTTAGATGCTTGGACTAGAGACTTTGGGAAAGCAGGATAATGGCGAAGTGAAGCTTTTCTGGCATGAGTCACTGAAGGAAAGCCAGGGGACAAAGATGGAGGAGAGCGGCGTGTTTCTGGTTGGTCAACAAAATGCTTATCATCAAGAAGGACCAGGGGCTAGAGTGCTGATCATCAAGAGTCTAAGTGATCCTCCTGAAAACAGCTTTGATGTGGTCTCTGGGCCACTGGGGTGTCTGTGTAGAGCATCACTTCAGGATGCCTATAGCCCAATCGGTAAGGAAGTTGTGGGCCTGCAACAGGTTGATGGATCAGTCCGTCTCTAGTGCTGAGGGATCCATGCCCCTAAGTCCAGCTAGCGCAGGATGGGCAGGTGATCGGACTCAGATGAATTCAGAGGGCTCCCCTCCAACCGAGGGGGACGGTGGAGTCATCGATTGGTCAGAAGAAGGATTCACACTGATGTGGGATTCAGATGGATCCGCCACTTGTCACGGCTTTGGATTAGCTGCATTCCTTCCTCTAAAAATGCGGATGTGTCGATTCAGACCGGAGGTCCCAGACAGCGGTTCTTGAACACTGCAGGCCATACTCAATTAGGCCATCGACATGAAGTCTAAACCCGACCACGAGCTTGTCACTATGAAGTTCTGAACTCAACTGACAAGCTCGTGGCTTGCTGAATCGACGGTGAGTCACCAGGGTCTTTGGGTCTCAAACCCACCAGTTCGCTCCTCACAAGCTCCAACGGTACCTGCCCTGCCCGCCTCGCATTGCACTTGACATGGCCTGTCCTTGAGGATGGGATGACCCGAAGCTCTTTCAAGAGTGGTAAGACGCTGGGTCGTTGTCCCGTTAGGGACGTACGTCGCGCTTGCCCGATGCGAAAAGGCTCTTTCTCAACGGGTGGGTTTTTCCTCGTCTTCTCAAGGGCGTCGCAGATCCGATGTCCTGGGTGGTTTGGATCGCAGGGATATCCCTCCAAATCCACGAGCGACACGAAGAGCCTCGTCGTTTGCGAAGCGGGGTGAATTTGAGAGCGAACCGGCGTTCTTGGTTCTTGATGGGTCAATTGCAAGAAGTCGGTAGCAACATGATAAAAAACACATGAACTATTGACTGCTTTCCAATGAACTCTTTTCGAACACACGTGCGTCGGCCTTGATGGCCCCTTTGGTTCAATCATGTGAGGGGTTGGCTTTTGAACGCCAGAATGATGCCAAACACGAGAGGCCTGGTGACCTAACAGAAGGTGGGTCGCTAGGTCGAATCTGACAGAAGAACTCCACTTGCTTCCATCCACCTCTGTGAACGAGCCAGTTCCTGAGGCAAGACTGCATTCAGGATTTACAGGATTTCATTTTCTGTCGTTGACATGCGGCTCCATGAACCCAATGGCATGGGTACTCGTTCTTCTGACATTCAGTGGATGATTGGGCGTGGGTTCTTTGGGTGGGCCCCCTTTTATCAGCCCGGGTAGTATGTAAATTGATATAGGGGACCAGTCTTCAAAAACTGGGAGGATCCCGCAGTGCCAGTGGCAGCAAGGATCGGTGCCTGTGCGCTTGCCGTGGCAAGTGGGAAGATCGACTGGCTGCTGAGTGCCTCGTGGGACGCGACGCCACTGAAGCTTTGGCGGCTGCCGGAGCCGGGCGCAGAGCTTTCGAATCTGAAGAAGGCCCGGCGGGAACCAGCATCGTCGGTTT